ATCAACATTACTATCAATATTACTATCCACATTGCTTCTAACAACCATCTCTACTATATCTAACAGCATCGACAACGTCTCGTACGAATTCTCGACTCGGACCAATCGCATTTCGCAGAAAAATCCTAGCCAGCTCGCTCCGACATTCTTAGTTGCATCATCGGTCTCTCGCTGGATTCACCCAGCTTCTGTCGAGGCGACCACGTGCCCTCTGATTTCGAGCAGAATCGGCCATTTTCCATGTGGCATCGGNTCATCCACGCAGCACGCTCGACGGTTTCGTGAAGGGGTTGCGAGGCTCGAGAAGATGGGTCTGCCGTCTGTGACGCGGAGGAAGCTCGTCGGCACGGAATTCCAGGCCCGTGGGGACGGCCGGCGAGATATCCGAGGATATTATCCCTCGGGAAGCCGTGTAATGAAACCGTTCCGGCACCCCCGTAGTATTATCCCCCGACGGCAATATAAGCCGAGGGGGTGAGCCGGCCACCACCAAGGATATAGGTGGCTGATACGTGGCGCAGCTGCACACCCACCCCCGGGATCGGCGTCTCTCTGCCGTTGCCGTTGCCGCCACGCCCCTCCTTTATGTCGCGACCCCTTACGACGCCGCGGATAAGTGGAGGCGAAAGATAGCCCGCGTCAGCGGGAACCCCCGACGTCATCGCCGTCATTAACGAATCCGTGTAATTGCCTCAGCCCTCCAAGAATCGAGCAGCCATCTCGCAACCCTTTCACCGTCGACACTGCAATAGGAAAGGGTTCACCGGGATGATTAGCCAGACCGGGGGACACTTCGCCAGCCTCCTCGCGCGATGCACCCAACGTCTGCCGGATTATATCTGCGATCAGAGCTTCTTGTTGCCGTGTCGTTCACCGACGGTTATTGCCCACTACCACCACCACCACCACCGCCACCACCACCCTTTCGAAACTCCAAAAGCTTCGAGAAAAGTTTTACCACTCGACCGAATTCTACGAAGAAATTCGATGGCGAGTGGAAGAGGTTACCAACCCTTGTCGCTTCGTTACAGATTTGGACGTGGCCAGACGCTGTCGCGTTTGCAGATGGAGAACGGCTGTAATTTGTTGGTATTGTTTAGTGAACGAATTTATTGTTGGGATGATTGATAGTTAACCTGGGTACTTTTGGTACTGAGGTACTCGCGTGGGGTGCTTATGGGCACCCAGGAAAAAGTGACATTTATTGATAATGTTGTATGAATGTCTGTATATTTTTGATATTTTTTATTTTTTTGTTAGGATTAGTATAATTTAGTAGTATAATTTGATGATACCTATTTGATGTAATAGTGTGTTATAATTTAATAGTATTTAATGTAGTAGTAGAATTTAATACTATTTAATATAATAGTAGAATTTATTTGTATTTAATAGAATAGTAGAATTTAATAGTATTTAATAGAATATATAGTAGAATTTAATAGTATTTAATATAATAGTAGAATTTAATAGTATTTAATAGAATAGTATGATTTAATAGAATTTAATATAATATAGTAGAATTTAATAGTATTTAATATAATAGTAT